TTGAGTTCGTAGGTGTTCAGAATGGTTTGATCCCTATTCAGCTGAATTCCTGAGACCAGACGAAATCCAGGTCTCCTACTCCTCCTGCTGCTATGGTTTTAATACTTTTTGCTCTTGACTGTGTTTGGAAGACATGGCGGTGAAAAGGAAGGTGGGACGGCTGGGGAATTGGTCGGTGCTCTGCCTGCCTCGGGTGAATGAGCGGGTGCCCCACTCCTCTGTCAGTTCTAGGCCCTGTTACTGCGCTAAGGGCCCCATGTCAGGCAACAGAAGCAGGGAAGGGACTGTGTATTTTCCTCTTTTATCAGGTGATTCTTTTTCATGAAACCGGAGCTTTCTGTGTTCCTGGGTAGTCTGTTTTTATTTAGTTTTCCTAAATCAGATCCAAATGTATTATAGGCAGTGTTCATTTCTGCCTGACGCTGACATAAGGCATGGAGAGTTTGTAGGATTTACTGATTTATCCTTTGTGAGGCTGCAGGAAGGAAGGAGACCTTGGACACTATTATTTTCTAAGGGTAGTAGAGCTCTTACGGTTAGGAAAACTCAAGTTCATTAAAAATGCTCCCAAACTGTCATTACCTAGTAGTTTTTGTATCAAAATTATAACTGCTATTCCATGGTGGCCCCCGATACATTTTCTGATTAAAAAATATTAAAACAAGCTCTCGTAATCTAAATGGTTTGTAACCATTCTTCTCTAGCACTGTGCCAAAGACCTTATCTTATGGGATATCATTTGGCTTCCTATCATTCAAAACCATTTTCTCCATCTTTAATTATTTAAGTAATAATTCTGGGTTGGATAATGTAGGCATTTTAGAAAACATAAAGATGTGTGATTATAAAGTAACCTCAATTATTCTAAAGGATAAAATAATAGCTGCCTCGATCTTAGTTACTCTTATGTGTTAACTGGGAAAAAGTTCATTAAAATGCATTTTGACACTTTTAATCCACTGAAACTCTAACTTCATTGGGAAAATGGCTCTGAGGATGGTGAGAACATTGCTAATTGGCTTGTACATCCCACATGGGATTATGCCAGTTTCTGAATCAGAATTTCCTGCTATTGCAACATGGTTTCTTCTTTCGTCTTCTTTTTTTTTTTTCTTTCCTTAGAAACAATCCATTTGGGTTCATTACATGGCCGTTTGTTAGCCTTGTTAGTTACAAGGCGTTGTATTTGTTTGTGACTACAGTGAAGTCATGTAGGCTGGGTCTGTGTGTGTGTGTGTGTGTGTTTGTGTGTGTACAGACTCAATGGGAGATCCTGCAGCTGTACAATGGGAGATCCTACAGCTGCTTGGGGAAGCAGGCAGCACCAAGGGGTCACTCTGATATTTCAGAACCCAAATCCTGCTTTCCCAAAATCATGGGGCATTTTTATTTCATTCATCAAGAAGATTGGTTCAACTTTGGTTTGCTTACTACATTCTGTACATAGACATCAATCTGCTTGACTTTTGAAAGCTTTTTATTGATATGTAATATTCTCAGAAAAAATACACTGATCCTAAGTGTGTAACAAGATAAGCTGTTTTACAAACTGAGCACACCTGTGTAACTGGTACCCAGATCACAAAACAGAATGTGACCAGCACCCCGGAAGCTCTCCTTATACCCCCTACATGTCACTAACCCTTCTCACCTTGGATAAGCATTCTCCTGTTTTGATTGTTTTTATATTTTATATACATGGAATTATACATGGTATATTATTTTGTGTTGGGTTGCTTTCATTTTTCATTATGTTTATGAGATTCATTTCCATTGATCATGTATTGTGTTTGTTCATTCTTACTGCTCTGTAGTGTTCTATTGATCAATACAACACAATTTATTCATTCTGCTGTTAACAGGCATTTAAATAATTTCTTTTGGGGGAGGGGGATGGGGGGCATTTTAATATGAATACCCTGAACATTCTAGTACATCTCTTTTGGTGAAAGTATATATACACATACATTCCTGTTGCAAATATATAGGAGTGGGGCATAGGGTGTGTGTATGTTCAGATTTAGTAGATAAGCCAGTGTTCTGGAGTGGTTGTAAGCATTTACACTCACACCAGCAATGTGTGAGAGTTCCAGTCGCTCCATCTCTTCACCAATATTTGACATTTTCTGCATTTTTTATTTTAGTCATTTTGGTGGATATGTATTGAATGTGGTTTAATTTATATTTCCTTGATGATAGTGAACCTGAGTACCCTTTCATATGATTATTAGTATTTGTATATCTGTTTTTGTGAGTTGTCTGTCTGGTCAGGTCTTTTGCCCATGTTTTTATCAATTGGCTCTCTCTTTACTACTGTTTGATAGGAATTCTTTATATAATCTGGGTATAGTTCCTTTGTTGTGTATATGTACTGTAAATATCTTGGTTGCCTTTTCACTCATGTATTGGGGTCTTTTGATGAACAGACATTCCTCATTTTTCTAAAAGTTTGATTTATTATTTTTTTCTTTTATGTGTTGTGCTTTTGGAGTTCAGTTTAAGAAATCTTCGCCTACTCCAAGTTGACAGAACTGTTCTGTGCTTTCCTCTAACGTCTTTATTTAGATTTGTAATTCACCTGATTTGATATTGTATATTGTATGAAATAGAGGTCAAGATACAATTTTTGCATATGGATATCCCATTAACTGAGCATCATTTTACTTGCTTCATTTAAGATGTTTTCATAAAGTTTAGTTTCATTGAAATATGTTTTATGTTTTCCTGGAGAAAATTACTAATGATTCTTGAAAAAAATTTAAACCTATGGTGATTTAAAATAATAATATAATCTGTAGACTTACCTAACACTTATGTAAATTGAATTTTTTAAAAAAGTTCTTTGTTGAGACTCTAGTTTGTAACTCCAGTATATTTACTCAACACCAGAGTGATTTACAATACACAAAGCATAATCATTTTTTTTAAAATTAATACTGTTCTCACTTTTTCATTTGAATTCAATCCAACACATGTCTATTATATGTCTGCTAGAATTTGGGACAGCTGAGAATATGGTGGAAGTTTTGAGCTCCATTATATGTCATTTATGTTTTAAGCCATGTAATAAAATTGTCAAACATTGGTCAGTAATAAACCATTTTACTTTAGTATTCAAAGTTATATTAATAAAGAGAAGTACAAGGTGAGAATTTTTATTACTATTAGGATGACCTTCCACCCCTTCTGTAATGCCTTCTATCAGGTTTTCCACTGGTAATGACACAAATCTTTTAAGATGTAAAAATAGAAAACATATAAAAGTTTCATATCTGTGTTTGGAATGACTGTGAATGCTTCCTCTTTGATGTCATTTCTGCTTAGTTTTATTTTTTTTCTCTTGTTATTTGTTCTAGGTTGTACTGGTCAGTGGACATCTGGACAGTTGGGACGTTGGGCAGGGTGCCATGGATGATGGCGGCGGAGCCTTTATATCATGGGAAGCACTCTCACTTATTAAAGATCTTGGTAAATATTTAGAAAGTCGTTAACCAATGTGTGAGGATCTCAGTGGTGACATATTTTACTCAACACGCAAAATACCGAACAGATAGGTTACTGTGATATGTTCAAAGATCCTCCTGAGGTCTGTATGTTTTTGGTCCATTGATTCTCAGGAAAGAATGAATTTGTCCCCTTAAAGAGAGAAATTTTTATTCAAGTGTACACCAGACATCCAAAGTATCAAATATGATCAGCCACTAGGGAAAGTGAACAAGCAAATAAAACTGTAGCAAATGTAACCACATCAGCTAGAGACTATGTAAGGAAACCATGACCAAGTGCAAAGAAAAGTCAGCAGCTCCCCCTGCCTCCTTTTCCTTGTTCATCCTAAAGGCATTATCAGGCTGTTAAGATAGCTTTACTGCAGCCTCTTTCCATGGCGGAAGTCAAAGAGAGCAACACTAGACTGAGGGAATGATCCCTTTACCCACAATAAGGAATCCAGGCTGAAGAATTGGAACTTCCAGGTGAACCTAGACGTGAGGAAGATGGACAGGCGTAAAAAGGAAAAGCTAATAGTGAAAGCGGTTTTTGATGACCCTCTTTGTAAACCAAAAACATACATTTCCTCTTTGTGTGCTGGTCCAAAAGGCAGATTTTGAGTGAGGTTAGAAATAATGAAACAATTTGAAGTCGGAGTTCCACATCTGAGTCAGAGCAGTGGTGGCCGTAAAATGCCTCATCAACAGAAGGTTTTATGTCGTGACTATGGAATGCCTCCGCTTCAGATATGGTAAAGATGAGAACATCCTCTTTGGTGAAGGCTTTCCATTGCTTACTTAAATACATATGTGTTTAAATTCATGCATTTCTTCTAGTGTTTAATGAACCCTTCCAATCCTGTAAATAAGCCCTTTAAATGATTGGTCATATTAACAATAGATTGCTGAAATGATGTTGCTTGGGGCAAATCTTTGGTGTACCATTTTGATTTATGTATTAGTTGCGTTCTAAAAGCGGCGAGATGGAAAGGTGGTTGTACATTTTTTTACTTTTAAGTAGGTAAATAGGTCTCTTAACCTTGGGACTACTGACATTTGTGGCGACATAATTCTGTGTTGTGGGGTCTGTCTCATGCAGGATGTTTAGCAGCATCCATGGCCTCTATCTACTGGATGCCAATGAGCACCATCACCTTCAAGTTGTAACAACCAAAAATGTCTCCAGACATTGCTAAATGTCCCTTGGCAGGTCAGGGCTGGTGGTGGAGGAATGTAGAAAATTGGTCCACTGAAATGATCTAATAAAAAAAATCACTAAAAGACCTGATACAGAGCCATTTTTTGGGGGAAAGAAAACCTTACATTGGAAACCTTACACTGAAGGTACTTAAACTTTTGACATCACTTCCATACTGAACACCCACTGTGTAAAGGCAGTTTGTAAAAGCTGGGCATACAGAAAGGTTTAAAGCATATCTTCTCTTCTTAAGACCCTTAGAATAGAGCTGGAGCATATGCATGCACCTGTTCATGTGGGTGCCAATATGCATCTAATTTCAAGGTCTGCTTTTAGAATTGGGTAAGGTTTGAGAGAGATGAATTGTCCAGTAAATAAAACCCCCAAAACATACATTCTTCAGAGAAGATCTGGGAGACTTTACATGTGAGTCCTCTCCTCCTTCCCATAAAAATGTTCCCTTGGTGATCTGTTCATTCCAGAATGAAGTGGGTTCCAGACATGAGACAAGCAGATATCAAACATTTTCTTCCTTATAGGGCCCAGATATGCATTTAGGAGGTTAATTTTATTTTGATGTGTTCAGCCAGCTTGATTAGAAACAGTGGTAGAACGAAAAGAGAACTGGACCCATCTGAAATGGAGTTTACGTCCCTCTGTGCCTCAAATTCCTTTTTTGGCCTCAGGCAAGTCATTTGAACTCTCTGGTCTTCATTTTCTTCATCTCTTTTAACTGTAAGCTTCTGGAGTATTTTATCTGCTCTAGATGGGAGTAAAAGTGGTATCTTCTCTAGGCTTTGAATCTTACTTTTTTAGTACTCAGCATGGCACCCTAAATCATTGTTGAGTTGGATTCAATTGCACAGATAAACGTAACACCATGCAAAGGTGAATTGAGTATCTTTTTCTAACACTGACTTCTGTTGCTTTTGATAGCTAGTAACCAGTCTCCTTCAATTCAGGACTTAACTTTCCTATAGATTTATGAAAACCTATATAAACATATGAATAAAACTCTGAAGTAAAGAGTAATATTTCTTTTGTTTTAAAGATTTATTTACTTGAGAGAGCGAGAGAGAGAGAGCAACCGGGGGGAGGGACAGAGAGAGAGGAAGGAGGAGAAGGAGAGAATCTCAAGCTGACTCCGTGTTGAGTGTGGAGCCCAATGTGGGACTCCCTCTCACGACCCTGAGACCATGGACTTGAGCTGAAACCAAGAGTCAGATGCTTAACTGACTGAGCCACCCAGGTGCCCCCAAAAGTAATATTTCTTTTGAGTAGGTGTTAAGAGGCAGCATGGCATACTGTTAAAAAAGCATAAGACTCTGGAGCCAGACTGCCTGAGTTCATAGCCTGGCCCTGCCTCTTACTAAGCATATGGCCTTTGCCTTTCTGTGCCTCAGTTTTCTCATCTGTGAAATTGGGATAATAGTAGTTCCTATCTCATAGAATTGCTTTGAAAATTAAATAGTCTGTTCATATAATGTACTTAGAACAGTACCTGACCCAACCCAAGTACTCAATAAATGTTAGCTTTTATTATATAGTAAGCCTGACTCTGATATACCATATTTTTTATGTAAGGGAGAATGGTAATTTTTTTACCCCCACCTCCATTAGTAATTATATTGCTTCCTCGCTTAATATGTTAGTTATACTGATATAACTCTACGTTCAGCTGCTATGGTAAATGCTTTCTCTTTACTATTTAAGCTGCTGTCTCTTGTATGATGGAAATCCTGTGACCCCTTTACTTTTTTCTACTTTCATACTAAATTTGGAGGAATCTGAATTTCTCCTTCTCACTTCCTGCCTCTGCTTCCAGCTTAGGTCAAATGCCCAATCTCCACTCTGTACCTCACTTCCTGTGATTGTACCCATTGAGTCTTAACTCTTTAATTCTAAAGTTAAAATTAGATTGTGGATTTCTATTTGTAGATTGCCTATGTTTTTTAATGCAAAGAACTGGGTCCAACATGTGACATATGAGCTCTGCTTGAAAATTACTGGTATGCTTGAACAAGAAATAGGACTTTGGGGAATGGGTTCATAATTATATTACTTAATTATATTAAGCCCAAACTGTTTAAGTGGTGAAATACAAATGCTCTGTGGTAATCTTTTTTCCAAGAAAAGTAACTCTTTCTGGCTGATGTTCCTTGAACAATATGTCACGCAGCATGCATGTCAGAGTCCCTCAGTGGGGCTTATGAATTTGAAGTGTTGGTCCAGAGAGGATTTCTGATATTTAGGAATATAGTTCTAAGATCCATCCTTCTTATCTCTTTTCCTTTGTTCTTTTCTTTCACTATTCTAATGGATTCACCCTTTTGCCCAGGCCATCAGCTAAAACTATATTCAATTAATCTAACAGAAGAGATATCTATGCTTTCAAAATATAATCAGTCATTCCTGAGTAACTGTCAACAGACGGCTATTTGCTATGAAATGCTATTGAATACTTCTTTGTGTTTGTGTTTCCTGGACTCGAAACTGTTTATTTGAAATGTCATTTCCTAGAATGTTCTGGTGTCAGTGAACAAAGCCTATGGTCAAAGATGCTATGCTTCAAAGTGTTCATTTGGCACTTGAAAAATAAACCACCATCCATCCCAAAATTCTTCCAACTTTACCATTTTCTGTGAAGTTAGAATTTTGAGTTTTCAGACCTAAACAAAGGAAGAAAATCAGAATTAATAGCACCACTTAGTTGTTGAAATGTGGAATATATGTGAAACATCTTGTTTGAGAAATTTAAATGTGAGTGTCCTGATTGTGATTATTATAGGGCTTGAAAGTCTGTGTGTTAGAAAAATAGTTTATTTACATATCCTCTCACTCATTCACTCAGCAAATTCTTATTGTGCACCAGATTGCATGTCAGCGTTCCAGGTGCCTTGTACCAAAGAGGAATGTGACATGGTCCCCAAAATCCTTGAAGTGGGGGAGACATTGAATTCAAAAATTGCCGTGAAACTGTTTTAAATTTTTTAACTGAAGTATGTACAAGTGACTTTTGGACACCTAATGAAGGGAGGGACGGGGATGGTGTGGCTGGATCAGGGCATCTTCACAAAGGCAATATTGAAGCTTTCTTTTCTAAAGGGGCACAATGAAGAATTCCTAGCAGAGTGTAGAGCCTCCAGTCCTGCACATCATTAAAAATGAAGAGAAAATTGTTGACAGTAACAATCTTGGGATTGTAGCAGAAGAGGGGATTTGCAAAATTGTAGGAAATGTACACTTTTTATTTAATATTTTTATATAACATTAGATTTTTTTATAATAAGATGTTATTTGAATAATCAGGGGCGGGGGAAAAACTCAAAAGCCAAAGGAAAGATTCTTGGCATCACCATTATCATTAACATTGTGTCAACAGGAACAACAGGGCAGAGTTGGGAAGTAGGAAGAGTTATGCAGGAGTCATCAAACCCTCCAGGCCCAGAAGTACATAAGGGCACGCAGCCACATGAGTGCCAAGGCTTTGGTGTAGTTAGAGCTTTAGGCACCCACTTCAAATGCAGTGGATTCTATCTTAGAGGGAGGCATCCATCCAGGAAGAGGATTTCCTTCTCCTCAGTCAAGCCTCCCTTGGAAAAGTCCCAGGAAGTCCAATCCAGAATAACCAAGGAAGGGAAATCAACAACTTCCAATAAAATGGAAACCTAAGAGGTAGAGCTAGAGACAGCTAGAGCCCTGAAGCCAGCTTGGCACTAGCCCAGACTAGAGAGGCAATCTCACTTGGAAAGGACCTCCCCCGCTGGGCTTTGCCATACCTCTGA